TGGAAGAGATGAGCAACAAAAATCCCAAAAGCAAGAGGCTGCTGTTTATAAAAAGAACTAATTAGATCCAACCTCATATAGTAAAAGGGACACCAATTTCTAGAGCTCCATGTTCTATACTGATGGAAATAAATCAGGAAGAAAGGATTATAGTCAGGAAAAATAAGTGAAGTGTTACAAAGCTCAATTCAAAAATCAGAATTACATGCTATTCTCCTGGTGTTCTTAGATTTTCTAGAACCTCCTAATGTAGTTACTGAATCTCAATATGCAGAAAAAAATTGTCTTACATATCAAAATTGCTGAACTTATCCCAGATGATTCAGAATTAACTTTCTTATTGATTCAATTACAACAAATAATCAGGAATAGAAATTATCCCTTGTATATAACACATATCAGATTACATATGGAGCTAACAGGACCTCTAGCACAAGGTAATAATGAAATTGATCAGCTATTGGTAGGAAATGTGCTAAAAGTCTCAGTGTTTCTTAAGAAACATTATGTTAATGCAAAGCTTTTAAGAAAGATTTTTCTATAACTTGGCAACAAGCCAAGGAAATTATAAGGTAAAGTTCTACTTGTTCTTTGTATAACCAAACTCCATTACCTGCAGGTAGTAACCCTAAAGGTACTCAAATAAATGAAATTTGGCAAATTGATATGTTTCATTTGCAGAGTTTGCGAAATTGAAGAATGTGTACCATATCATAAATACCTATTCAGTCTCCTCCATGGAGACTCCACAGCTGTTGGTACGAAGTTCATGAGTTCCCACTAGTTTGGTTTGGTTGTCCCTGTAGGTTTCCCCATCATGAACTTTTGATGCCCCTTGCTCATAGAATCCCTCTTCCCTCTCTTTGACTGGACTCCTGGAGCTTGGCCTGGTGCCTGGCTGTGGATCTCTGCATCTGCTTCCATCAGTTACTGGATGAAGGCTCTATGATGAGTTAGGGTATTCACTAATCTGACTTCTGGGGTAAGCCAGTTCAGGCACCCTCTCCACTATTGCTAATTGTCTAAGCTGGGGTAATCCTTGTGGATTCCTGGGAACTTCCCTAGCACCCAGTTTCTAGCTATCCACATGATCTCTATCTATCTATCTATCTATCTATCTATCTATCTATCTATCTATCTATCTATCTATCTATCTCTATCTCTATCTATCTCTTTCATTGCTCTTCTACTCTTTCCCTGTTCCAGCTCAACAATCTCATTCCCTTATGTTCTCATCCCCCATCCCCTACTCTCCATTACCCCCCTTATCCCCAGTTTACTCATGAAGATTTCAACTATTTCCCCATTCCAGGGCAATCCATACATCCCTCTTAGGGTCTTCCTTGTTAGCTAGCTTCTCTGGAGCTGTGGGTTGTAGTCTGGTTATCTTTGCTTTACATCTAGCATCTAGTCTCCACTTATGAGAGAGTACATACCATGTTTGTTCTTCTCAGTCTGTGTTACCTCACTCAAGAAGATATTTTCTAGTTCTATCCATTTGCAAATTTCATAATGTCACTATTTTTGTGCTGCTGAGTAGTACTCCATTGTGTATATGTGCCACATTTTCTTTATCCATTCTTTGGTTGAAGGGCATCTAGATTGTTTCCAGGTTCTGGCTATTACAAATAATGCTGCTATGAATATAGTTAAGCAAGTGTCCTTGTGGTATGATTGAGCGTTCCTTGGGTATATGCCCAAGATTAGTATAGCTGGTTCTTGAGGAAGATTGATTCTCAATTTTCTGAGAAGTTGATTTCCAAAGTAGCTGTAAAATTTGCACTCCCACCAACAATGGAAGAGTGTTCCCCTTACTCCACATCCTCTCCAACGTAAGCTGTCTTCAGTGTTTTTTATCTTAGTCATCTTGACAGGTGTAGGATGGTATCTCAGAATCATTTTGATTTGCATTTCCCTAATGACTAAGCTATTTCAGCTATTTGAAATTCTTCTATTGATAATTTCCTTCTTTGATATTCTGGTAGAATTCTACACTGAAATCATGTGGTCCTGGCTTTTTTTCCTTGGGAGACTTTTAATGACTGTTTCTATTTCTTTAGGGGTTATGGGTCTGTTTAAACTGTGTATCTGGTCTTGATTTAATCTTGGTATGTGGTACCTATCCAAAACTTGTCCATTTCTTTTAGATTTTCCAATTTTTGTGGAGTATAGGTTTTTGAAGAATGACCTGATGATTCTCTGGATTTCCTCATTTTTCTATTATTATGTCTCCCTTTTCATTTCTGATTTTGTTAATTTGGATGTTCTCTCTCTGCCTTGTGGTTAGTTTGGATAAGGGCTTGTCTATCTTGTTGATTTTCTCAAAAGAACCAAATCTTTGTTTCATTGATTCTTTTTATTTTTCTCCTTGTTTCTATTTTATTGATTTCAGTCCTCAATTTGATTATTTCCTGGTGTTTATTCCTCATGAGTGAGTTTGCTTCTTTTTGTTCTAGAGCTTTTCAGCTGTGCTGTTAAGTTGCTAGTGTGAGATTTCTACAACTTTTCTATGTGGGCATTTAGTGCTATGAATTTTCCTCTTAGCACTGCTTTCATAGTGTCGCATACATTTGGGTATGTTGTACATTCACTTTCTTTGAATTTTTGGAGGCTTTAATTTCTTTCTTTCTTTCTTTCTTGACCCATTGGTGATTCAGTTGAGCATTATTCACTTTCCATGAGATTGTAGGCTTTCTGTAATTTTTGTTGCTGTTGAAATCTAACTTTAAGCCATGGTGGTCTGATAAAATACAGGAGGTTATTCCAAATTTTTTCTGTATACTTCTTGTATCTTTATGGGCATGTCCTTCTTTAGGCTGGGAAAGTTTGCTTCTATGATTTTGTTGAATATATTTTCTGTGCCTTTGAGCTGGAATTCTTCTCCTTCTTCTATCATTATTCTTAAGTTTGGTTTTTGCACTGTGTCCAAGATTTCCTGGATGTTTTGTGTTAAGAATTTGTTGGATTTAACATTTTCTTTGACCAATGAACCTATTTCCTCTAACATAGCTTCAATGCCTGAGATTCTCTCTTCCATCTCTTGTATTCTGTTGATTATGCTTGTATCTCTACTTTCTGTTCATTTACCCCAATTTTCCATTTCCAGAATTCCCTTGGTTTGTGTTTCCTTTATTGCCTCTCTTTCAATTTTCAAGTCTTGAACTGTTTCCTTCACCTGTTAGATTGTTTTTTCTTGGCTTTCTTTAAGGGATTTATGAATGTCTTCCAATTTTTTGTTTCCTCTCCATTTCTTTCAGGTTTTTTTCTTTTTCTCTTTAATGGCATCTATCATCTTCATAAAGTTATTTTATGAAGGTCATTTTCTTCTGCTTCTTCTATGTTGGGATGTTCAGGTCTTGCTGTTGTAGAATGACTAGGTTCTGGTGTTGCTGTATTGCTCTTTATGTTGTTGAATGTATTCTTATATTTCAGTCTACACAATTGGGTTGAAGTAACTGTAGGTATAGGTGATGATTCTTCCTCCAGTTGGTGCAGGTGGTGCCTGTGTCTCCAGGCTGCTCTTCCTCCAATTAGTGCAGATAGTGTGCCTCCAGTGGCCTCTGATGCCCTGGGGGATGGTAAGTTTGCTGATCAGCTGCTGGGACTCTTCCTCCAATCAGTGTTGGTGGAGTCTGTGCCTCTGGTGGCCTCTCTTCCTCCAATTGGTGTTGGTAGAGTCTGTGCCTCTGGTTCCGTGAGGGATGATAAGACTGCGGACTGTCTGCTGGGGTTTGTGATGCATGGAAGAGGAGCTCAGAATGTGTCCAGAACCTAGGGCTTAGAGAGTAGGGTTGTCCAGCCAGGAGGCTAGCCACTCACCTCTTCCTCCAATTGGTGTTGGTGGAGTCTGTCCACTTGGGACATTTATGTATCAATATAAAAGAAAGATTGAATGTTACCTGATGGTCAAACATTACTAAAACAAACTCCAGGAATCATCTTCCTATAGCAGGGCTTCCTTATGTAGGACTTGGGACCATTTGTAAAGTAAGACCATAAGTATCTCACCACTAGACACACTCATCTTTATTAGCATACCATTGAAAATCAAGTGGAGAAAATCCAATGAGATGAGAAAATTGAGTATGTCTGTGTTTTCATATATATTGTGCTGGCTGTGATATTCCATAAAATCCCAAGGGCTTCATTTTCTTAATTATTAACAGACAGTATTACAACTGCAAAGATCCAATTGGTTTTGTAACTTGATTTGGATAATTGTAATTAGCATGGGCTAGTCTGTGATCATCAGTGACATCTCTGAGAAGCAGGTGCTTGGAACTACTGTCCTGATCATCATTGTGTAGTTGTAGTTATGCCTTCAAGTGCTGCAGGTAGAGATGCAATATTTGCCTCTCTATGACAATATTCTACATTTTAATTCAGTATTAATGTTTTTGTATGTATGTTTTTACTCCAAACACTGGGCTCCTAAGTTTAACAGCAAAGCAGTTATTAAAGACACTTCTTTCTAAAGCCAACATTATGTCTAAGCTAATGCTCCCTTTTAGATGAACCAAAAGTCCCTTCCTTGTTCCTAAATTTCATATGATGTCCAATATGTGATGTTATTTTTAGATTGTTCTGAACAATTTTAATTATGAATGTTTTTGATATAATGTCATGAATATGTTAATTTCCTTCATGCTTTAAAGTGATTCATATAAAATTTTTTATAACTATTCAGCTATACTGTTCCCAATGCTTCATTGCATCACTGTTTTTTTAAATGTAGACCAAGAAATAGAAATATGAGTCAGAATGTTTCATAGCATAAATTCAAAATAAATATCTCTTTAAACAAAGCCAATATTATTTGACATACAATTTACATTATTAGACACAAATTCTTGTTTTATCTGATGCCCTCATTTTTTACTTTTTATAGTTAGCATACAAAGCAATGGGTTTCATTATGCATTTTCACACATATGCATATGTGGAACTGATTTGTTTAGTCTAGGCCACTGAGACTACCCACTCAGGTGAGGGGCAAAGCCATGCCATCAGGCTACAGCTCTTCCACACCAGCAGTGAGGGGTCGGACCATCTCTCCTGAGTGTGGGACCAACTCTCCCATGAGGGGCAGAGCCAGCTCTTTTGCTGCAGTAGCCAGTGAGGGCCAGGGCCAGCTCTACCAGGGCCAGCAAAAGGAGGTATCAGCTCAGCACAGCTCTCAGATTTCAACATGCATGGTTCCTATGGACCCCTATGGTAACATGGGCCACAGAGATCAACACTGTAGATGTAACCAACCCCACATTGGGCACCAAATGTAGATGTAACCAACCATCTTATTAAATAAGAAACACAGAGCCGATTCAGAGAAGAAAGCCAAGAGGTTGAAACTAAGAGCCTTACCCTTCCTGCTTCAGCCAAGAGAGCTCTCCGAGGAGGACCTACTTCCTGTGTGTATGTCTTTATATAGTCTAGCTGTTCTGCCTTCTCATTGGTTGCAAACCCAAACACATGACTGCCTCATCACTGCCTTTCTGTAGAGACTTCCAGGTCTTCTATGGTTGGTATTGAGATTAAAGGCGTGTGTCTCTAATGCTGGCTGTATCTTTTTACACACAGAGATCTCTCTAGCTAACTCTGTCTACCAAGTGCTGGGATTAAAGGCATGCACCACCACTGCCACAGTCTTGCTGTGGCTCTAATAGCTCTGACCCCCGGGCAACTTTATTTATTAACATACAATTAAAATCACATTTCAGTACAAATAAAATACCACCATACAACACAGACCCTAGCTGTAGCAGGATCCCAGACACAGGCATGGTCCTTGGCAGCAACTTGGATCTGGATGTCATCATGGCCCCAGTAGCAGCACTGGCGCCCAGATCAGTATGGCCCTAGTGGCAGCATGGCCCTGGGAATCTGTGTGGCCTTTGGTGGCAACATGAGCCATGGATGTCAACACAGACTCCAGCTGAGGTAAGACCATAGACCTAGACATGGCCCTTGACAGCAGCCTGGGCTCAGATGTCACCATGGTCCTGGGTGGCAAGCAGGCCACCCTCATCGGTCTGTTCCCCACCACATTCGCTTTTTCAGTTCTCTCTCTTTCCATAGCACGTGAACAGGTTTGCCTCTCTTTCTCTCTCATTTCTCCACCATATATTTGCTTCTCATAATGGTGCCGACCCGCCCTAGCCTTGCAGTGCTGGGAGGGCCTATGGAGTCTTCAGCCAGCCTGGACCATGAGCTACATTTCCTTTTTCATCTTAAGACATTTTCTTCTCTTTCCATGATCCCCTTTCTAGATTCATTACACATACAGAGAATTTTAAATCTAGGTCCTATGTGATAGAGAAAATATGAAAATATGGAATATTTGTCTGTATTAATCAGGCTTTGTTTTTCTTAATGATTCCAGTTCTATCTATTTCTTGTGGATGTTAAGGTTTCTTAATGGGTGAACAGGGTTCCACTGTTATATTCCAATTTCTCTTTCATGTAATCGTACATGTAATCTCACAATTACATCTTAATCTTATGGATATATATATATATATATATATATATATATATATATATATATATTCGTGGATGGTCAGGAAGATGACTTAGCTGTATAATTTTGATAAATAGAAACATACTAAAATATGCTTCATAACTAGACCTGTTGTTCTATATGACTGTTAGACACTTAGAGGTCTGTTCTCCATCCTTGGCTTACTGACAGTGCAAACTGTCCAAATAAAGTGTCTTTGGAATAGATTATAGGCAGAACTTTCACAGATTTTATTCATGAGCAAAATTGCAGGTGTTTCACCTTGTTTGGATCAAAGCCCTTCAGAAGACTTATGGCAAGCTAGAGTGATAGAGCAGGTGTCTAACCAAGGTTATTAACACAACAACCTAAAAAATCATGCCAATTCTTCACTTTCCAAGTCTAGCCTATAAAAGACCTATGTCTCAATTTTATCTAACCAGGCTCTGATCAGTCTTACTCTTGAAACCTTGAAACCTTGTGTTGCCACAGTAGTGGCTCAGCTCCTTGTTGCTTACCTTAGGGATGTGCTTTTGACCAATGAGAGGTAACTCTTGTAATTTTTTTGTTGCTTCAAGCCTCCTACAAAAAGAGAAATTTTAGGATAGATGAGGAGAAGCAGGAGGATTAGAACAGAGAATTGGAGCTAAGAAATTATATACAATTAGGACATGAAAATTAGAACAATAGAAGAGACACAACTGGAACAGCACACACACATGTGAACTTTTTTCTGTAAACCCTCAGATTAGAAATATCCTTTGTATATAGGAGGGCTACTGATTTTTTTGAGTTGATCTTGTATCCTGCTATGTTGCTGAAGGTGTTTATAAGCTGTATCAGTTCCTTGGTGGAATCTTTGGGGTCGCTCAAGTATACTATCATGTCATCTGCAAATAGGGAAAGCTAGAGAGGCCCACAGAAATCCACAAAGATACCCACACAACAGACTGCCGGCAATGGTCGAGAGACAGCCCGAACTGACCTACTCTGGTGATGGGATGGCCAAACACCCTAATTGTTGTGCTAGAAACCTCATCCAACTACTGAGGGATCTGGATGCAGAGATCCATGACTAGGCCCTGGGTGGATCTCTGGGAGTCCAATTAGGGAGAATGAGGAGGGTTAATATGAGCAAGAATTGTTGAGACCAAGGTTGGATAAAGCACAGGGACAAATAGCCAAATGAATGGAAACACATGAACTATGAACCAGTGGCTGAGGGGTCCCCACTGGATCATGCCCTCCAAATGGGTGAGACAGTTGATTGGCTTGATCTGTTTGGGAGGCATCCAGGCAGTGGGACCAGATCTTGTGCTCATTGCATGAGTTGGCTGTTTGAAACCTGGGGCCTATGCAGGATTGTTTGGCTCGGCCTGGGAGGAGGGGACTAGACCTACCTGGACTGAGTCTACCAGGTTGACCTCAGTCTGTGGGGAAGGCTTTGCCCTGGAGGAGATGGGAATGGGGGGGGTTGGGGGGAAGGTGAGGGGGACGGGAGGGGGGAGAACAAGGGAATCCGTGGCTGATATGTAGAACTGAATTGTATTGCAAAATAAATTAAAATAAAAAAAATTGTTAAAAAAAAAAAAAAGAAATATCCTAAATTCTCTTCACTTCAGTGCATCATCTGACCTGAACCCTGAAAGGGATCTTGGGGCTGGACCCCAAAGGCTCTGGTTATGTTAATATAAAGGCTTTGAGTGTATACCCAAGGGCAGTGTAGATAGGTAATGTGATAGTTGTAGTTTTTAGTAAAGTCTGTATTCAGTTCTTTTTTCCCTACATCTTCACCAGCATTTGCTGTCTTTACTTTCTCTGATGACAGCCATCTGACTCAGGTGAGGTTGAGTCTCAAAGCAGCTTTAATCTATATTTCCTTAATGGCTAAGGAAGCTAAATGGTTTTTTAAATGTTTGTTGGCTATTTTCAATTCTTTTGAGATCAGTTTATTTAGCTCATCAGTGCCTTTGTTGATTTAATACATTTTATTTATTTGTTTTTTTGTTTATTGTTGTAGCCTGCTGATGAGTCAACTGGGTATCTGGGTGGAGGTGTACAGATTGTAGAGACAATGAAGAGAGAAGAGTCAAGAGGACTGCCAGTCAATACCAAAAAGCACTGAGTTTATTTTACAGCCAGTTTATATACAGTCTTGAAGGACTGAAGTAGAACAATGCACAGCACAGGCATTCAGCCACTATCTATCCTGTCCTTGAGTCAAGGAGCAGGCAGTTTCATTTCCTATCTCCATGTACCTCTGGCTGGCATGAGCAGCCTGCATCTAGTTAGATAGTATGTTCCTTCCCATGGGTTAATCAGGACATTCTTACAGTCCTTCAAGGAGACTCTGCGGGCTAATCAGGACTTTCTCACAGCACTGAAGCATGCAAGCTTGAACTCTATTGACTCAGAATAGACTTCAGATTCAAACTGGGAAACTGAGTCAGTTGTGGAGTCCCACAATTTATTGCTTTTTTTTTTTTTTTTTGGTTTTTCGAGACAGGGTTTCTCTGTGTAGCTTTGCACCTTTCCTGGAACTTGCTTTGTAGACCAGGCTGGCCTCGAACTCACAGAGATCTGCCTGCCTCTGCCTCCTGAGTGCTGGGATTAAAGGCATGCGTCACAACCACCCGGCTAATTTATTGCCTTTTTGAGACAGGATTCCTTGTGTATCCTTGGCTGTCCTGGAACTATCTCTGTAGAACAGGCTGGCCTTGAATTTACAGAAATCTTCCTGCCTCTGCTTCCTGAGTACTGGGATTAAAAGGATACACTTCCACTGTCTGGCAATACATTTTATTTTCAGTATTTAAATTTTACAGTTCTCTATAAATTCTGGATAAAATTCACTTTCTAACATGCAGTTACCACACTATTGATTTTTTTTTTAGTTATGTGGGCTATCTCTTGGCTCTGATGTCAATTCCTCTGCTAAGCAGAAGCTTTAGATTTCCGTTAATCCTATTGGTCAATTATTGAGATTCCTATGTCTTTATATTGTGGTCTTGCTTTTGAAGGTTCTAGCAGGGGAGTGCAGCTACACATGTTTCCTTGACTAAAGAATGCTATATTGGGGAGGTCATCCTCTCACTGAACAGCTTTGGAGGCATGAACATGGATTGGTGAGGGAGGAAGGCAACAGCTGTTAGCTAGACAGATCAATAGAGTCAACCTTGGTGACCTCTGGAGTGACAGATGTTACAGCACAGATTGCCCTTATATCCTATGCCTATATCTTAAAATGTCTTGATTATGTCTTCTTCTATCCATTTTGAAGTTTCAGGTTTATATTAGGGTTTTTGATCCATTATGAATTGACTTTAGTGGGGGTAAGAGATATGGATCTAGCTTCATTCTTCATTATGTGGAAATCCAATTAGGTCAGCACCACTTGTTAAAGAGCCTATCTTTTCTCTAATGTGTGCTTTTGATACCTTTATTAGAAGTTAGGCTAAGCTGTATAGATTTATTTCTGGGTCCTCTATTCTAATCCATGGCTCCTCATGCCTGTTTTTATACCTGTTTCATTTTGGCTTTTATTTATTAACTAATCGTGTGTGTGTGTGTGTGTGTGTGTGTGTGTGTGTGTGTGTGTGTGTGTGCTCATGTGCATCTGTGGTTTGTATTGTATGTGTCTCTGTATGTATTGCACATACA